GCCGCCCGCCTGCCTGCTGGGGTCCGGGCCACTCTGCAGGGGCCTGTGGATCGGGCCTGAGAGGAGCTCCCGTGGTTTGGGCCAAGTCCGCCCCGTCTCCGCTCCCAGTTGCATTCCAAACCTCGTCCAGGCTCAGTCCGCTGCACGCTCTCTGCGTCTCGGCCCACCCGGTTGCATGCTCAGCGCACAGAGGACCAAGTGACAGGTGGAGAGAGAGGTCCGAGAGCAGGCGCAGCGCAGGCCAGCGAGCAGGCGCAGGAAGGACGAGCGAGGTCAGGCCAGGCCAGGCGGCAGGAAGGCAAGTGGACAGGGCAGGTGGCAGGTGCAGGCCGAGCAGCCCTAGCGGAGCTGCCTCGGACTCCTAGTGGCTGCGGCCCAACTCTCGCCCCTGAGGCGCTATGTCCCCGGCCCGGCCACCGCCTAACGCTCCTGCTCACACCACAGGCGGAGAAGGTGCTGCAGTTTGACCCGGGGACCAAGAACGTGACGGCCCTGCTGATGGAGGCGCGGGAGCTGGAGGCCCGGGTCATCATCCTCTCCGCCAGGTGAGGCTGGGCGGGCCCCTCCCCCACTGCACCCCGGGCTGCCCCTGGGCGGGGCTGAGGGCACCATTGCACCTCAGCTTCCCAAGTGCCCTTGCCAAAGAGCGCCCCTCCACGGGGCCCTGGCCACCTGGCAGGCGGGGCGCCCTCTCTCTGTCCATCCTTCCTGCCTTCTCCCTCCCCTCCCCGGTCAGCACTGCCACTGCCCTGAGCTGGGCTTGGGGGTGGGGTATGGACAAGCTCCTGCCCTGAACTCTGAGACTGGACTCAGGGAGGGGCCCTGAGGAAGGCGTGTCCGGTGAGCCCAGGCAGGAAGGCCCGCGGCAGGGACAGGCCTGGAGCGGTTGGAGGCGGCGGCCGGGGAGGGGGACATGAGGGACAGTGAACCAGGCTGTCCTTGGCAGGGCCCGGCCCCACACCTCCCCCTCAGGGACCAGCCGTCAGTAAAAATCTCCCCATTTGCCAGTGGCTGGGCCTCCTGGGAAGGGAAAGTCCAGGCCCCCAGAGGAGCCCAGGGGCCGCCAGGAGCGTGTGCTGGGCCCACCCGCTGCCTGCCCCGCGCAGAAGCTCCTGGGCTCCCGGCCAGGGCAGAAAAGCAGCAGGGCCATCGGCCCAGAGGCACGCCCCACAGCTGCTGCCCTGCAGGCGAGTGTGAGGCCGGGCGGGGTGCGTTTGCACACTCAGTCAGCACACCTCGGGCACAGAGCGAGGTGCCCGCTGCCCAGGCAGGTCACAGGGCAGGGCCGACCAGGGACTTGCCCACGCTGACCATCCAGCCCTGGGCCCCGTGGGGAGGGCTTCGGAGAAGGGTTTAAAGACCCGCCAGGCAAAGCCAAGAGGGCACACAGCCCCTCCCTGAGAAAAACCCACCTAGAGCAAGCCCAACCTGGACCTAGCTACCCAGAGAAAGCCCCGCCCAGATAAAGCCCCGCCTAGAGAAAGTCCCGACCAGAGAAAGCCCCGCCAGCCCCGCCCAGGACAAGCCCCGCCCAGAACAAGCTCTGCCCAGGAAAGCCCCTCCCAGGGAGAGTCGTGCCCAGAGAAAGCCCCGCCCAGGACAAGCCCCGCCCAGAACAAGCTCTGCCCAGGAAAGCCCCTCCCAGGGAGAGTCGTGCCCAGAGAAAGCCCCGCCCAGGACAAGCCCCGCCCAGAACAAGCTCTGCCCAGGAAAGCCCCTCCCAGGGAGAGTCGTGCCCAGAGAAAGCCCCGCCCAGGACAAGCCCCGCCCAGAACAAGCTCTGCCCAGGAAAGCCCCTCCCAGGGAGAGTCGTGCCCAGAGAAAGCCCCGCCCAGGACAAGCCCCGCCCAGAACAAGCTCTGCCCAGGAAAGCCCCTCCCAGGGAGAGTCGTGCCCAGAGAAAGCCCCGCCCAGGACAAGCCCCGCCCAGAACAAGCTCTGCCCAGGAAAGCCCCTCCCAGGGAGAGTCGTGCCCAGAGAAAGCCCCGCCCAGGACAAGCCCCGCCCAGAGAAAGCCCCGCCCAGAACAAGCCCCGCCCAGGAAAGCCCCTCCCAGGGAGAGTCGTGCCCAGAGTAAGCCGCGCCTGGACCCCCTCCTTTATTTCCCTATTCATTACTCTTCTCCTCACTGGTCACAGGGCTGGAGGGCGATCCGGAGGCTGTGGTGGGTGGAGGGTGGCTGGGTGGGTGCACCAATGGGCAGACAGGCCAGTGGACAGGTGACTAGATCAGGCCCTTCATCCAGGACAGAGCAAACCAAGGAAGCCGTGACCCCAAAACACAGCTGTTCAACCGTGGTGCACGTTTGCAAAGGCCAAGGTCGCACCTACCTAGGCCTCCCCATCCACACACTGTAATCAGAGTGGCCACCAGGACACGAGCCAGAGAGCCACACGCAAAGCCAATCTACGGAACCCCACCCAGGTCCGGGGGGGGTCTTCTCCACTGTTTCCCCTCTGGTCACTGGGACCCTGCCCACGCGCTGCAGGCACGGAAGGGGAAGGCCCCAGACACGCCCTGAGAGGGTCTTGTGCTGTGTCACTAGCCCCAGGGTCAAGGACCAATTTGCCAGATGTGGCTCCAACAAAGGTCCGCCCAGAGAAGGGGACATGGTCACAGCAGACAGTGGCACATGCACTACACATAGAGCCACGCACAGGAACTATGTGCACACCACACGCATGCAAGCACACACCCTATAACCACATGTACATACATTATATGCACACCTATGTGCACACACCATACATGCATGTGTGCACGTGTGCAAGGAACAACATATTCACATAATTGTCACACATGCACACCATGTTTTCTCACACACTGCACATGCACATACATATGAACACACTGCATGCACATATGGTATACATGTGCATACATCACATGCACACACCCATAGACATGTGTATGTGCAATATACACATCATATTTAATGCATGCATATGCTCACACACAGGCACCATATAGACACCATCACATGTGCACACAAGTTATTGCATGTGTGCATATGCAGGCACATCACACACAAATGAATACATAGACACACAGTCATGTACACACCTATATGCAAGTACATGCATGTACTCCATGGTAACACACAGCACACACATGTGTGCATGCTGTGTGCGTGATCACATAGACCATACCACATGCTACCTATATGCATACACCCCACACAGGCAGGTACACTGCCCACCAAGGCTCAGCACTCACAGCAACCACCAGCCACCAGCACCCTCGTGAATCCACCCAGGCCAGGCCTCTGGGCTGGCAGGGTGGCAGGGTCCCTCCTCTCACACGCTGGTCTCCCTGGAGCAGAGGCCAGTCCCACCGCAGAGGGCTGACCATCTGGGGCTGACCAGAAGCCCAGCGGCAAGGCTGTCCTCGGCTGTCCCCTGGGCAGTGCCAGCACCAGTCTTCTTGACCCTGGCACTCCGACCGGACACATTTTGGCTCCTGCTTCATGCATTTTGTAGAGAAACCTCATCAAGCCAATCTTAATTTTTTGTTTTTGTTTTTTACCAATTCTCTACCAAGTGCAGAGAATTCACTTCCAAACATTCCTTCTCCTCTGCCTGGGACTGTTCTTGCCGCAGTTGGCTGCCTCCATGAGCCAGTGCGATGGCGTGGCCAGGCTTGTCTACAGCTGCTTTACTGCTGCACCATTTACACGATGCCAGCTTAGTGCGTCATTCCACCTGCCCAGCACAGGCCCTGCCAGGCGTTGTGGGCACCCGCGCCCCGACAGGCACAGTTTGTTTTTGCCGGCGATCGTGGCTGAATGCTCTCCTTTAGGCCACAGTGTGACGCTGCCCTGCTCGGCGTTGCTCCCATCGGGCGCTACCGTTGTCATTTAGAGCGAAGGCTTTCACACCTTCACCGGCTAATTCTTGAGGAAATGCGGGGCAGACCCCTTAGGCCAGTGATGGCGAACCTATGACACGCGTGTCAGAGGTGACACGCGAACTCATTTTTTTTGGTTGATTTTTCTTTGTTAAATGGCATTTAAATATATAAAATAAATATCAAAAATATAAGTCTTTGTTTTACTATGGTGGCAAATATCAAAAAATTTCTACATGTGACACGGCACCAGAGTTAAGTTAGGGCTTTTCAAAATGCTGACACGCCGAGCTCAAAAGGTTCACCATCACTGCCTTAGGCAGCCTAGGGCCACCTCGGTTTCCAGGGTCAGCCATGTGACAACAGCTCAGCCCTCGGGCATCTGTCCACCCCCTTTGCACCCGCTGCCCACGCACGGGAAGCACAGTGCCCGCCATGGGCCAGGTCCATGGGGATGAGGACGCCCCGAGGTCTCAGGAGCACGTGTGCCCCCAGGCGTGGCCTGTGCTCTGTCCGGCCAGTGGTCCCACCCCTGGTGGCAGGCTGCTTGCTCAGACTCCGGAAGGGAGCGGTAGCCCTCCTGTTCGCTGTGGCTTCCACTGCGCTGCTCGGGGCAGTTCCCAGGCCCTGGCTCCCCCCAGCACCCAACCAACCTGGAGAGCCCCCGGCCCCTCACTCCAGTGCGGCTATGGAGCCAGAGGTCGTGTGGCTTGTTCAGGAGGTCACAGAAGCAGGGGCACCGGCACAGGCCTGACTCAGCCGCTCAGCACCACTCACGTGCCGGGGGTGCCTCAGTTTCCCCTCCTGACACAGGGACAGTACTAATGCCTGCCCCCTATGCAGCACTTAGAACGGTGGCCCCTAACGGGTGACTGAGTGATCAATAAAAAATGGTCCATTGCCACCCCGGCTACCCTGAGCCTGCTGGGCAAGGGCAGGGGGCCAGCAAGAGAGGCCTGGGAAGCTCTAGGGTCTGCGCCCCACCGCGCCGCACCTCTGTGGGGTCCCCTGGCCCAGATATGGGCTGGGGGGGGGGGGGGGGG